AGTGGTTCTTTGAAATGCCATTAAAAGCAACTTGTGACTGTAGCCACGCGTTTCAGTTTTATCCTCCATTACTGGTAACGATAGCCCCATATGTCTGCGACATATATATATATATATATTCGACCTATAGCTGCTAATGGGAGCGCTGTCTCTTTAAGAGGCTCCAGATAGCGGATTCTATTATAGATTAATTGATTAAGAGGGTGGTGCTCCGAGATGACAATATATCTCTTTATTGATCTGCCTTTCAATGAGATTGGCTGTTACCCAACCTCCCAGTGGGATGGAGGGGAAAAGAGAAAAGGGAAATAGGAGAGGGAGTTAGGGGGGGTAAAGCACTGCTGCTATTAAGGGAACAACCAATTTCCTGTTTCTCTTGTTGGAGCCTTTTGGAGCTTGGACTCAGTCCCACAATATGAGTAAAAAATATAACCGTCCACTGGGCTGAGGTCCAGTCCAGAGCTCTTAACCCTCTCACATTTATCATTTTCCCCCTGTTTTCCACACATATACACTCCTCTCCTGCCTCATTAAATAAGAATCCACCTGTCCGGCTCCCCCCTGTCTGGTTCGGGACCCGTGTTTCTTTCTTTTCCATTTCTCCATAATGAGAGGCCCCCTATTAATTTAGGGGCTGTGAAGCGAGACGTGCCCTTTAGCACCCCCCCCCCCATCATCCCACCCCTTCAGCCCCATGTCTACGAAGGGGAAAAGGGCTGGATGAAGACAGAGTGGGCCGGGATGTCCCCGTCTGTTGGCCACCACACATCATAATGAGAGGGGCAGATTGGGGTGTCAGAGGAGGCGTGTGCACGTGTGAACGTGCGCACGTGGGGTTCGGCCATTCAACTGGTACCGGCATCATGATCATGATCGTACTCCGTTATGAGGTCAGATCTGGTCCGGGATGCACATTAGGAGCCCTGGATGTCGCCGTTTTATTGGATTCCCGATAAAAGACAAGCTAACGGTGCATGCTAACGGTGCTCGCTAACGTTAATTTTAGTTGATATTGAGCCTTTGGTGGTATCAGAATTTGGCTATAATTACTCACTTTAGCATTGTATGCTATCACA